TTCATCTATCAGAGGGCCAAATTTTTAGCATTGTCAGAAGCTACAGTTTCTTTAAATGAGTACTCAAATATACATAACCTTTTAAGAAAATAACATTTCTAAAAGTACTGAGAGTCTAGTTATTATACTCATATACTTTGTAAGTCTTCTGGTTTTTAATAGTTTTATTTCTTATCCATTGCATGCTTACAGCCTTTCACTTACCAGTTTACTAGACTACCCCATTCATACTCTGCTAGAATTTCAGCAACATGGATTTTTGGTTTATCTGTACATTTTTTTGACCGTGATGCTCTGTGTTGAGAGGAGTTATTGCCCAGGCTGTTCATCCAGAATCTTTCAAAGTAGATTTTGAGGTTCAGTTCTCTCCTATTCATTTTTTAAATACACTTAGTTGCCAGATACTGAGTTAAGTGTTTACCTTACTTTTACTTTCTTTGTTCTTTCTTTCATCGGAAAAGGAAAGCGCAATGGCTTCCACACAACTGTATCTCAATCTGCTTTGGAAGTGAACTAGCACCTTGCAAATATTCTCAGCCCTACCTATAGAATTTGTAAACCGTTCTTGTTAAGAAACAGTGCTCTGATAAAATCTGTAGCATAGCCTAGGCCTCCCAAGGTTCTTCTATTTCAAATGGGATATTAAAGGAGTGGAAAAGATTCAGGGAATACTAACAAACATGAGAAAAGGCCTGGAAAAGCTTCTGTAAAAGCAATCAGTAGGTAAGCTAGCACTGTTTAGGCTAGAAGAGCGAGGACAGGTGTATGATTGCTGTTGGAGAGCTATAATATGGAAATGGTAATTAAGAATAAATTGTTTACATCTCCTCCAATACAAGGACTTAGGGGTCATTGAATGAGGTAAATAAATGACAGGTTCAGAGCAGAGATGATTCGCACAACAAGTGTTATCTGTGGAACTACTTGCCATAGGGTGTTATAGGCGATACAAACTTTTTATGGTTCAAAAATCAATTTTAAAAAGTACTGAAATAAAAATCCATTGAAGTAAAGAAAATTCTTACCTGAATGTAAGAAAGGCCAACAGTCTCCAGTTGAGGCAGCGTAGAAGTGACAGTGAGCATCGCTCTGTTCTCACGTCCTTCCCTAAGCACCTGTCACTGCAGACAGGATCCAGGGCCCTTTGCCCTTATGGAGCAGAGGTGTCATTATGCTCCTGAGGAAGCATATTGAATTACCGATATGATGAGGGCTGGTCATTTTATAGGTAGTCTGTTACAGAAACACTATTTTCTGTTTCTATCCAACCTGCTGCATAGCTTAAGCTATTTTCACTTTCCATTTGTTGTATTCAACTCTACGTGATGATTTAGCTGTGTTCCTGTGTTGACAGGTATATCAAAATACCTTGGTAAGGATAAAATAACAGGCAACAGTGTTCAGAGAATGACTTGTTACACCAGACATGGCAATGTACTTTTGGGAATCTAAATTTTAGATCATCTTGTCCATGCAAGACAGAAGAAATTGACAGTAGGGTGATGGTTGTCTGCAAGCTAAAAGAACTGATGGCCTGCATCACATATAGACTTATTAAGGTTATCATAGAATCACAGAATCATAGAATCATTTAGGTTGGAAAAGACCTTTAAGATCATCCAGTCCAACCGTTAACCTAACATTACCAAGTCCACCACTAAACCAGTTAAGGGTAGGGTAACAATTTCATGTTTCCTGCCTTGGTGGCCTGATTATTTATAATAAAAGTAAAAACTAGGAATCATTAAGGTTGTGAAGGACCTCTAAGATCATCAGTCCAATCATCAACCCAACACCACCATGCCCACTAAACCATGTCCCAAAGTGCCACATCTACCCGTTTTTTGAACGCTTCCAGGGATGGTGACTCCACCACCTCTCTGGGCAGCCTGTTCCAATGCTTGACTACCCTTTCCGTGAAGAAATTTTTCCTAATATCCAATCTAAATCTTCCCTGGTACAGCTTGAGCCCACTTCCTCTCGTCCTATTGCTAACTGCTTAGGAGAAGAGACCAACACCCACCTCACTACAGCCTCCTTTCAGGTAGTTGTAGAGAACGATAAGGTCTTCCCTCAGCCTCCTCTTCTGTAGGCTAAACAATCCCAGTTCCTTCAGCCGCGCCTCATAAGGCCTGTGCTCTAGACCCTTCACCAGCTTCGTTGCCCTTCTCTGGACACGCTCCAGCACCTCAATGTCCTTCTTGTAGTGAGGGGATCCACAACTGAACACAGTATTCAAGGTGCAGCCTCACCAGTGCCGAGTACAGGGCGACGATCACTTCCCTGCTCCTGCTGGCCACACCATTCCTGATACAAGCCAGGATGCTGTTGGCCTTCTTGGCCACTTGGGCACACTGCTGGCTCATGTTCAGCCGGCTGTCAGCCAACACCCCCAGGTCCTTTTTGGCCAGGCAGCTTTCCAGCCACACTTCCCCAAGCCTGTGGCGTTGCATGGGGTTGTTGTGACCGAAGTGCAGGACCTGGTGCTTGGCCTTGTTGAACCTCATACAGTTGGCCCTTGGCCCATCAGTCCAGCCTGTCCAGGTCCCTCTGCAGGGCCATCCTCCCCTCCAGCAGATCGATACTCCCACCCAGTTTGGTGCCATCTGCAAACTTACTGAGGGTACACTCAATCCCTTCATCCAGATCGTTGATAAAGATGTTAAACCAGACTGGCCCCAAAACAGGCCCCTGGGGAACACCGCTCGTGACTGGTTGCCAACTGGACTTAACTCCATTCACCACAACATGCTGCTGATACATAAAATGAGCTATGCCACTAACAGATACAAACTCAACTGACAGCTCTAGTTCAGGACTTCCCAGCTGCATTGTTGATCTGCCCTAGTAACCTAGCCTGGTCTGAAGATCCAATATGAGGACAGGAGGGGAAACTTCTGGGCAAGTCTTATTAACTTGGTGATTTGGTTTATAGAAGTCATCCAGTTAGTACTCGAAAAATACTCAGTCTTGGCATCTACATCAAGATTAGGAGACTTGAAGACCTAGTTTTTGTTACTTATTATCATTTCCTGTGATTAAATCCTGTTGAAATTGCAAACCTGGGCACAGCTTTTATACAACAATATTCTGTAATTAAAAACATCTGAAGTATTGGAACTTTGGCATTTTTAAAAGTGATAGTGAACAACTAACTCCTTCATTCATCAGCTCTATAAAGTCATTTCAAACCAAGACGTTGTGTAGAAATTAACTTACTGGTTCCAGCAAATCAGTCTGGGTTGGGTTTTTTTTGTTGTTTGTGTGTTTGCTCGTTTTAAATGAGTGACCTAGGCAAAGCTAATCAGACTTGCTCTTGTGGATCTGACAGTAGTGCTGACATTGAATCTAATACTCAATATGGCAGCAACAATAGCTCCTGCTATCCCATCTGGTAATGATCAGATGTTAGTAATTTTTTAAATGAAAGTAACAGGTATTTGCTATAACTGAGCAGAATCCATTTAGGTTCTTTTTGCTGAAGATGTGATTAAGTAAAAACAGAATTCTTGTCATTCTTGAGCCTTTGACATATAAAACAAAAGATGGATAGGTGGATATATTTTTATCTCCAGCTATTCCCTCATCCCCAACAAAAGAAAGAATACCTCTGCATACCTTGTATACATTTCCCATTCTTCTTCTTAATAAGAGTGCTTTCTTTTACCTAATACTTATATGATTAAAGGGTGTCAACAATGCTTAATATTAGGTACATACTGTTATCTACATTTATTGCCTTAGTAAAGGGGCAGCTTAATCTGAGCAAAAGTAATGCTTCACCGTCGAGTACCAGAGCATGTAGTCAGGAAAACTGGCACTGACACTGTAATTATAGTTTGCCTTTCCCAACGCTCCCAAAAAAAGAGATTTGCTGCTGGTGGACATAAGTACTTTTGATAGAATTACTTGCATGACTAGTTAAAGCACTTGTACAGAAATTCTCCTTGTAGCAGGTATACTTTTGATTTGTTTGACTGCACATTTCTTTAATATTATGTCTGTGACATATCTAACCTAATTTTAGATGGTATTTGACTAGCAACTTTCACTTCCCAGGAGGTGATTTATATTACTAATGTAGCATTGGAGTTTGCTCAAGCTTTTTATAGAATATCCAGAGACTGTGGACTGTCCTAGGCTGAATTGTCTCAAGAGCCTGACTTTGCTGTCAGATGTTAGATTACCATCATTACTTTTTGAGCTGGATTTCGTGTACTCACACTGTTTTAAGTATTCCATCTTACTAGTTTCTGAATGAACTAAGCTATTTTCAACCAAATTTGATAGAGGATGAGAAGACAGAGCTTGGTGCTCATGAAACTATGTGTGAGTTAACCCCATATAAGACACCAAAGAAAGTCTAGGGGAGACTGGCTTAATAAAGCCCCAGCCTCAGCAACAATTTCAGGTAGTGTGAACACTTTTTTCAGGAATCTCTGTCAACTTGAAATACGGATATAACATGGATTGTAAAATCTTTTTCCTGCAAATAAATTTTGGAAGGGGTCTTGACTCCAAATTAGCCAAACTACCCCAATGCTGAAATGTAAAAACTACTGGCATTACTACACTAAGATCTGATTCAGTGTCCATGATTATCTTTAGGAGTTTGCCAATAACTTCAGCAAAGACATGATCAGAGTAGGAACGTTAGTATTACTTGGCCATCCTAAACAAGTGTATGAACATTGCGTGTTCCCACCTGTTCTGTGGAGCCATTGATGATGCCTCAACATGTTAAAAACCTCTCACCGTTCACAGTACGATTTAGATTTGCCACACAACCGTACAATAATCTGAGGAAATCTGCTTGTGTAATATGACCTTTAAAAATTAAAGCTGTATTTAAGTCTTTGAGTTCTAGTGTTCCTTGAGAGCAGTAGAACACGTGGGAAGTGGTTTATTACAGGTATCTATGTAGGAACATCAAAAAATTCTAATCAGTACAGTATGATAACATCATTCATGTTAATTTTTGTGACTTGGTCTCATTTCAGATGAAGTGGCTATCTGTCCTGCCCCAACAGTGTATTTTGCTGACAACATGTCTCCTAATGGCCTTGGAAGCTGTACCTATAGACATAGATAAGACAAAAGTCAAAGGAGAAGGCCACGTAGAAGGAGAAAAGGTAGAAAATCCAGTAAGTGTAATTAAATTTGTCTAATTAAGTGTTTTTTCCTAATTGTTAGTAATCTGGCTATAGCAAACTCCCTTCCTGAAATTTAGATGTTCTTTGCTGGAGTTACTTGCAGGAAGGAAACTCGCATTAGCCAGTATTGTCATACAGTCTACCACCTACTATGGTGAGGTTCCATTTAAATTTGTTTTGTTTTGTTTTGTTTTTTTTTTTTCCTTCCATGAGCTGCTAAAGGTGAGGTGGCACATGGAAGGAATTCCCCAGCTTACAACAGGAAGAACTGCTTACTGTTCCACAGAGATTTCTTTCAAGCAATTGAGTGGTGGCTTAGGAAATTCCACTCAGTGATTCCAGTTCAGTGTTTCAAATAGAACAGTAATGAATGATTTGCACTGTTTTAAAAAAAAAAAGAAAAACAAACAAAAAAACCTGTATTAACATGAGAGATACTTGTGTACCACATGGATTTCTAAACATTTTTCTCCTCTTCCTTGTCAGTTGCTGAAACAAATGAATCATAAGTTGTAATAGAGCAATGATGCAAATCAGAAAAACCGAAGATATGTAAGAGAGTATGCTGCCTGAGTTGCTGAGATTTGAGTTTCAGTTTAATCATTGTATTTAAACAAAATAAAATATTTGGTAGTAATATTATTTTCTCAATTTCATGTTTTTTTTTTGAAGGATACAGGACTTTATTATGATGAATACCTCAGGCAAGTAATAGATGTCTTGGAAACAGATAAGCATTTCAGGGAGAAACTCCAGACTGCTGACATAGAGGAAATAAAGGTAGGTACAAAAAAAAAAAAAAAAAAAAAAAAAAAATAGTTAAACTAAAGTTAATTAAATCCATATAAATCCATAATCATGAGACATGTATGTTGTATTCTTTCTTCCTTTACTTTCTTCATACTCCTCTCAATCTTTGTGAGCTTAAATTTCATTTTTATTTACTTAGGTATTTAACTCTTACTAGATCTTTGTCTTTAGTCAAGGGACAGTAGAAGTTCTGTTCATTCAAGAAAATGCCATAGCATAAAAAAAACCCCAAAAATGTATACCTGAAGGCATAGTTTCTGCCTTCTGCCTATCTACTAAAAAGCCAGTTTCAGATTCTGTACAGGTCGGTAAAGCTGCATGTATGTCAAAACAGCTGCCAGTGTAGCTCTCATTCGCTGTTGCCCGCTGAGTAATTTGGAACACTGTTTTGAACATAGAGGTATGTCTGCCTTCTGAGATTAAGATACCGTGTCACAAATGAGTACGATGGCATGGAAGAGAATTACAAGGAAGTCAGATTTTAAAGTCTGGGGAAATGGAGGAGTTGTGCTAGACATAAAGTCAGTGTATGTAGGAATAAAATAGACCTCTGGCTTTCTCCGCTGCTGTCCTTTCTTTTGTGCCAATCCACACAGCACTCTCTCCAAAACCTCACCACATTCTTGTCTTTTCTACTTTAGTTCCTGGCTCTAGGTCGTGGCTGTTCTGCATTCCCCTTTATGAGCTAGAAATTCAGCAAGGGACAGGTAGGAAACAGTCTAAAGTGATAGACTTAAAGAGGAGATCCTGCCTTTTGCATTTCCTTTAATCCCTCATGTTGCCGTTGGCAGCTTTTGGCTCCTTTTGCTTCTGTGCTACATCTAGTGTAACCCTTGAAGGTTACTATCCATTTCCAGATCCTGATAAATATTCTTGCAATACACATTGGTGGCTGTTGCTGTACCTGTACTTCCTCTCAAGTCTTACAGCCATCATCAAGTGGATGAAGAGCACAGTACTTTGTGTGCATCTCTCAGTTCTTTTGAACTAATTTGAGAACATTTGATCAAGAAATTTGTCACTTCTTAAACATTATTAGGTATTGCTGCTTCAAGATCATGCTTTTGGTCTTTGAAGGAGCAAGATACTTAGAAATTCTCTTTTCAGAAAGCTTTTAGGATTCCTCTCTGTTTCTGTAACCATAGGCTTAAAAAATTTTGAATCTGCTCTTTGAAAAAATGTTGAGATTCTTATAATGTGGGCTACAGTGTCACCAAAGACTGCCACTAGTCTGCTGTCTTGCAGCTCATGTCTAATGGGAATCCTAAAGGCTACTTTCTTCTAGTTTTTATACGTAATTTCTGTTTTTTCCACAGAGTGGAAAACTAAGCAGAGAGCTTGATTTAGTAAGCCACCATGTGAGAACACGGCTGGATGAACTAAAAAGGCAAGAGGTGGCAAGATTAAGAATGTTAATTAAAGCTAAAATGGATTCTGTTCAAGGTAAGAATACGGAATTTAACTAGGTGAGTTAACAGATGGGATTGTGTTGGAGAGGTGCCCAAAAATCCATCAGTTATGCTTTGTTTGTTGTCAACAATAATGGCTGTAAGCTGCAAGTGAGTGTCCTTTCTGAGCTGGCCTAGGGCCAGTAAAGACCCATCTTTATAGGAAACTGGGGAGAAGAGAAAAGCCATCTGTATTTTATAAATAACTAAACTTGATTCCGGCAGTGGATTTTTTAGATACTTCTAATCTTTTTCAACCTCTTTTTTATTTCTGTAGTGCATCAATTTATAGATTACCCACTGAGAACTAGTAACATAGTAGGATTATGTTTAAGAATACAACATGTCTTCACAGGATAGAAAATAATTTTTTTTTTTTTTACAGTCAGTTAACACAAAAGTTTCCCTTTTCTCTTTTTAAGCCCTCTGTCCACCAATTAGAGTTATTGTACAGATCTGTAACTAACATTAAACATCAGTTCAGAAGATTATTTTTCTTATTTTTGGGGGAGTTTTAAGCTCCTGAATAAAGAAAAACATTTGGAGTGTAAAAAATTCTCAGTAGCATAATTAGCATAATTATGCATAAAGTTAGCATAATTGCTAACGAAATTGTACAAACTCAGGCAGTTTCTTTTAATGAATAAAGTAGAAAAGCTTCTAATATTCTGATTGCTGTATGTTTGTGTGGGAAATGGTGCTATCCCTTTTTATTTCTTATTACCGAAGAATTTTTGAAGTTTACATTTAGAACTAATTCTGTAAATTTGTTATTAGTGGTTTCTTTTTGAAGGTAGTTAGTTGCTCATAAACAAAGATCCTAATGATGGACTGCATGATCTTGTTTATGAAATGCTGTTTTTCACAAAGAAGCTCTAATAAAAAGGGCTTAATTTGCCTATGCAGATTAAATAGGTAGCCCCTCCACAGGAGTCAGTGCAGTCAGGTACCTGCCAGACCCTGTGTTCATCTTCCTCAGGTGGCTCTTTAGCTGCCAAGAACCCAGTCATGATCCTATTGCAGGCAAGCGGTCCAGTGACATCACAGTGACAGTCACAGTGAACTAGTTGACAGCAGCTAATGATACCTGATTGTGTACATAGTAATTTTGTGTATTTTGAAATTTTTTAATAGTATAATGGACTGATTACTTCTAGCCCTTTCTACTTCCATAAATCAAGAGTAACTAACAGAGCGCGTTTTAGAAAAATAATTCCCCCCAACAGAACAGATCTGTTACTTTATAAGTGTGAGATCTTACATTTGGGAAAGAACAAGAACAGATTATTCCAGTTCAGAATGTTCAGATGACTACTAAGATGTGAAAACATAGGGAGTCAGAAAACATTTTCTAAAGTTTATAGTCAGCCCTACCAGCAAGTACTTCACACCACATACAACAAGTATTGTTCTTTTTTAAAAAGCCTATTATTACACTTCTAAAAATGTTTCAAAAACAGGCTAAGGCTCATATATTTCAACAGAAATTATGATCTCACCAGGGAGGAATGATGGTTGAAGTCTGCCCCAGCCAGTGTTTGCCATTTTGTGATAATACGAACACAGCACTGAGTGTAAGACAGACAGTTTACCAAAGAATAACGTTCAAAATGTGTTTTCCAATTTTTTTTAAACAAATAAAATATTCTTTTTAAGCCAACTAGTAAAAGCTTGTCAAAATTGTTCTACATGACATATCAGAGTGTATGCTGCTTAAGACAACATTATTATCTAGCATTAGCAGTCAGAAACCATGGTAACAGCTGGAAAAGCCTGTTGTAGAAATGTGTTTTGTCAGTGCATTGTGTATTGATATTGTTTGGTATAGTTCATGTCATAAGGAAGAGAGAAATGTTTGCAGCTTTTAGACACAGGACCTGACTCTCCACTGTCTTGCACCACTCGTTTTGGATGAATGAAATTTGAATATATGCTTATCTGATTTGATGTAATTTTACACCATATTATACATACTTCTTTGGCCAGATATAAGTAATTTGCAAAATGTACAGGGCAGTAGAGGAGTCAGACTTCTCCCAGTTCAGGAAAAAGATGCAAGTTGTTAGCTCTGATACTGCACATAACTTCAACTATCTCATTTATATGAAAGGGAATAAAATGTTTTTCTTCATTTGTGAAGCTGAAATTGATTGTACATTTCCTTGCTGAAACACAAGCCTTAATTTGTGCATGTTAAATTATTGTGTGCAATGCAACACTGACATGTCAGAAGGAATATAGTGCAAATTGCTATCAAGTTTGCCGATCCCCTTCACGAAAAGCAACTCTAGAAGTGTTGCTGTAGTTTCCTCTGACAGTAGAAAAAATTATTCGGTCCTCAGGGAGCCTCAGGTACTTACAAGCACAAGCTCCTATGTGAAAGTTTTTAACTTCCTGATCTTGCTTGATTTCAAACTTACTTTAATGTTTTACATTTGTACCTTGTTCTTTCAGACACTGGCATAGACCATCAGGCTCTCCTTAAACAGTTTGAGCACCTGAACCATCAGAATCCCGACACGTTCGAACCTAAAGACTTAGATATGTTGATCAAAGCAGTGAGTGCTAGATGTAAACTACTATGGGTTTTCTTGGTATTAATTATTATGCTTTTTCTCTGGTAAAGCCAAATCCTTTTGTATATTTATTTTTTTTATAAATGACACCCAGTTTTCATTTTCAGAGAAAAGTCAGTTGTCTCCGTTGCACACTTGAAAACTGTTGTCAGTGTGCATTATGCTGAAGAGCCCATAAATTTTGGGGTGGCATCTTAACAGGATTTGTGTTCATATGCCAGTACAAACAACTTTGGGAATAAAATACGCCTTTCTGGGAGCATTTAAGTTAAATGCAGTTTTGATAGGGGTACATTTTTCCCAAGTGTATTTTCTGATTTCTAATTGTAAATTATTTAAGTGTCTCACAGAGTGACATAAAAAATCATCCCTAAACTAGCCATTTGAATTTTGGGATCTATTATAGATACATCAAGCCGCAGAACCACAGCAGAGTAGAATTTAAGATACCAATATTAGAAATTGCATATGCTGGGCATGGTATTCAATGTCTATTTAGCAGATCTGGTATCAATCACAGGTGTGGGGTTTTTTCGTTGCATGTTTATTAAGGGGATACAGTTAAGCTAAGCATGTCACAGCTTTTTTCAATGGCTGGGAAAAATACACTTCCCAAGAGTAAAAAAGACTTTAATCTCAGATATACTTTAGACAGCACTGCCTGTCTGACATGAGAATTTGACAGTTTTTTGTATTTTCAAAATAAATGGAAAGATAAGGTATATTTTAAGCTTCCTGTAATTTTTGTGGGGTTTTTTTACCCTTGGAAAATTTTATCTCGATTTTCTGTAAAATTATTTTTTTATATAGATATTATAAAATTTCTTGCCATTTCTGAGCATCACTTCTGGGAAAATTCTGGTTAGCTAGGAGAAGCATATCCTCAGCGGGGCAGTTCTTTCTCTTATATTATTTTTCTTCTCATTTCTCAGCTGAGATATTGACAGAGTGTAATGGGCATTTTAGGGGGTCTGTGCTTTGAAATTGTTTTTGAAAAGGTACAGTGAATCTGAAAATTAAAATGTAAGTAATGGAGAGACTATATCGGGTATGAACATGTTACTTTGAAATGCACTACCAAAACATCCTTTAACACCTTGGGCTGTCTGAAAATGGTAAATCTCTAAACTCTATTCAAGCACTTGTCAGAAATTCTCCCCTCACACCCTTTCTCTCCATATAATTGGGGTTTTTTTATTTAATCTGTATTAAGCTACTGCAAACTAAGTCCTATTATTAATGAAGGTACTTTTTTCATTAAACTGTAGGATAAGCTACCAATGCTCTTATTCTGAAATAAACCAGGAGTTAATGGCACTATTTGAAGCTGTGATTAATTAGTATGGGACATGCTTAACTTTAGTTAATTTGTTACTAATTGATGAGAAAGGACACATTGATGCCTTCTTGCAGTAGTATGTAGTCGCAAAACTTGTCCAGCAGTTGAACCCTTGCAAATTAATTTCTGTGAAAATAATGAAGTGAGGAAAGATGTTTTTGCATCACTGTCATGTGAAAGGAAACCCCAAAAACTAGTCTACCTCGTGTTTAAAAGGAGAATGACAATATGACCAGCCTTGCCCACAAATCTAAACAATACAGTGTTTTTAATGTCATATGTGTTAACATAATTGTGTGGCATAATCATATGTCTACATGTATCTATATTTTTAGGCTACAAGTGACCTGGAAAACTATGATAAGACCCGCCATGAAGAGTTTAAGAAATATGAGATGATGAAAGAACATGAGAGGAGGGAGTATTTAAAAACACTGGATGAAGAAAAGAGGCAGCGAGAAGAATCCAAATTTGAGGAGATGAAGAAAAAACATGGAGATCACCCAAAAGTTCACCATCCTGTAAGGCCACAGTCTGTTCTTACATGATTGGGTGGAAGCTTTACTTTCCAGGGAGAAGCAGCTAATGAAAAGAAGGGTATATCTTGTTTGTTCTCAGCATTTGCCTTTTCTCGTGGACATGGGAGCAGAGTGTGGGAAGAGTGTTGAGCATTACAAAACTCACTATATCTACCCCCATTTTTTCCGTACAAGTATGCTATTTGCTGGCAGAATTATTATTTACAAAGAAGCTAAAACTCATGAGGAAGCCAGTATGGTATTCAAAACTGTAGGGATGCCTTCATGGTATGCCTGACCTGCAAGGAACTGCGTCACAGCACCTTTTGCTCTAGAAAAGGCAACATAATTTAACTCCCTTCAGCTGTTGTTTCTAGATGAGTCTGTATGGCCATGACTGATTATTAGAGGTGTTTCTTTCCACAGCATATGCATATCCTTGACACTCCCTCTTTCCCTGGGTCTTTCCGTCTAATGAAAATATTAGACCTGACCAAAAGGGAATTAAAGAAAATCCCATTGATTCCATATGCAACATGCCTAATCAGAAAATAAAGCCTTTCAGAGAAACTGTAATGCAAAGGTAATGCAGAAAAATTATACACTTAATCATTTTTTGAATAGTTTTTCTTTGTAACCAATCTATAGGGAAGCAAGGATCAACTGAAAGAGGTGTGGGAGGAAGCAGATGGACTAGATCCTAATGAATTTGACCCCAAGACATTTTTCAAATTACATGGTAAGAGGTTTAGTTTAATTTAATGAACAAGTGAAGTGACTTTCTGTTACCTTCTGCTGAGGGCAAGTTTGTCATAAGACAAACTAGGATGAAGTCTTACACCTCAAGCAATTTGGATGAATCTGAAGAGTATAGAGGAGAAAATATTTATGTTGTTGTTTGTAAGTTTACTGCAAAGTTTTAAATGGGGTTTAAGAGTTGAAAACAGAGTTTTGTTTAACTACTCATAAAATCATACAGCAAATAACCTGTAGTGATTGCTCAGGGAAGTATGGGTAATTAGAGGGCTGTCCATAACTATAACTTTGCTTACACACTACATATTAGGAAAAAAATCCTCAGAGGTGTGTGTGGGAAAACGTGCTTTCTTATAATCTCTGCAGGTAAGTGCCACACTACCCTTATCTTTGGAGTGGTCATAGAAGTGCCAAGTGTATTCAGAAGTTGCAAGGTTCCCTTATTAAAACAAAACCCAAAATGACCCCCAATCCTGCCTCTGTACTTCTGAGCAGTGTGCAGCTAGAAACAATAAAATAGCAGCAGAGATGAAGATGCATCTCAGTGGGCATTTTGCTTTAAATGTGACTATATAAATGTGTAACCTTATATCCTGACATTGTTAAATGCTTCATAATAAAGTACCCTTAAGCAGATCCTGCCTGGCACTGGGTTGTGAAGGTTTGAATAGTACACAGATTTTGACTAATCCCAAAGATGATAATTCAACTGAAGAAAAGTGTTCTAGCTTGAGTCTGAACTTTTATCTTGGTTTATATAATATATAAATACGTATTATAGTATATTATTA